TCAACACTTGGCCCACTCTACCCTGTCTTCTGAGTTTCTTTAGTTCTCATTCTATGTGACCATTTCTCCCATGAATACCCAGTTCTGATCCGCCCAAAGAACTTCCTTTGACCCCCAATGTCTTAGGGGCCAAGGACCATTCCCCTTTTCATTTATGTCAGGTATCCCAGGTCACCTCCTCTGAGAGACCCACCCTGACCTCCCAGCCAAATATGGTTTCTCTTCACTTATCCTGTTTGATTGGCATCCTAGCACAGTTTGGTGCTATTTAACATCACCTTGCTCTTTTTTCATCTGCCTTTCCCCAGAAACCATAACTAGAGATTTTTAAAAATATATATTTTATTGATTTTTTTACAGAGAGGAAGAGAGAGGGATAGAGAGCTAGAAACATCAATGAGAAAGAAACATCGATCAGCTGCCTCCTGCACACCCCTACCGGAGATGTGCCCGCAACCACGGTACATGCCCTTGACCGGAATTGAACCTGGGACCCTTCAGTCCGCAGGCCGACGCTCTATCCGCTGAGCCAAACCGGTTAGGGCTAAACTAGAGATTTTAAGTTCCACAGAAGTGGGGCTCTGGTCCCACTATGTCTCCAGGGACCAGCACAGCATCTGAGCATTGTGGGTTCGCGGGACGTGTCTGTGAGGCATGCACACAAGATTCCTCATTGTGTGTCCCAGCAGCCTGACTCCCATCAGGTGGTGACGCCTTAACTTTCTGACCATGGGGAGGAGGCTTAAGGAGGGCTTTGCAGTGTCATGAGAGAAAAAAAGGAGGCGCAGAAACTTGCAAATGGTAACTCCTCAGCTGGCCCCCAACTGCAAACGCATAGTAAGACCTGGCCAAGAGCAGCTGTTAGAGGAGAACGGTGATCCGAGGACGCGGCCAGGGATGACCGTCGGACTTCGTGTGGCTGGGGAGGTTGCTTCTACTTTCTGGGCCTCAGTTCCCTCAGGTGGAAGAGAGTGAATGAATGCTCTGTCTCCTGCTTTGTAAAGTCAGGCTGCTCAGGGCTGGAAGGTGTCTCAGGAGATCATCTGAGCCAATGGTTCCCATTTTAAAGGTTAGGAAACGGAAGCATAGGGAGGGGAGAAGCGAAGTGGCCAGTCTAAACTACAGCCGGTTTTTTTTGTTGTTGTTTTCCCAATGGAATCACAGTTATGCTGGTGTCAGCTTGGAGGCTCAGTTCCAGATCAGGGCACATACATAGGTCCAGGTTCCATCCCTCGTTGGGTTGCGAATCAGAGGCAACTGGTAGGTAATAGATTTATCTTGTTCCCATTTTAAAGATTAGGAAACGGAAGCATAGGGAGGGGAGAAGCGAAGTGGCCAGTCTAAACTACAGCCGGTTTTTTGGTTGTTGTTTTCCCAATGGAATCACAGTTATGCTGGCGTCAGCTTGGAGGCTCAGTTCCAGATCAGGGCACGTACGTAGGTCCAGGTTCCATCCCTCGTTGGGGTGCGAAACAGAGGCAACTGGTAGGTAATAGATTTATCTTTCACATCCATATCTCTCTCTCTCTCTCTCTCTCTCTCTCTCTCTCTCTCTCTCTCTCTCTCGTCTATAAAAATAAAAAACAAGCTTTGTGCAATGGCAGGATTGTAGCCAATGAGGTTTATACGAGGCACGATTATTGCTAATTGAAAGAACAAAAATAAATTAAAAAACCCACATATCCTTGGGTGAGGATTTTTTAAAAAGTCAACTCATCGAGAGATGTTCCTTCTTTTAGACAGATTATTCCAGATGATGGAAAGACCAGAATTGTTCGTCCCTTGTGTGCGGTGGCCGAATAGTTATTGATGGCCCCGCCAGTCACCCCACAGATTGGCCCTGATTGCTAGCCAGGCCTAGGGACCCTACCCATGCACGCATTTCGTGCATTGGGCCTCTAGTAAAAAATATTTTTTAAAAAAGAGTTCAGAAGAGGCTCCTGTATGGAAAGTAGTGAGAGGACCACCTGCCACACTGCCCCCCTCAGGTCCCGAGACAGACTGCACCAGGGGCACCAGGACTCAGCTGGAGTCAGTTCCCGACCAGCCAATGGCCCTCAGAGAAAAGCGAACTAGCACGACCAGAAGTCTCCGCGCGAGGCCACCTGACCAATCGCTGTGCCGCCCTAAGGCAGCCGCGCTAGTTCTTCTGGGAGTTGTAGTCCCAAGGCCCCGAGCCTTACCTGGTCCAACAGTCGGAGCAATTGGTGCCCGGAGAGTCCGACTTTCCAGAAAGCGGGCCAGTGAGGACGTGCACCCAGCGGGCGTGCACTAAACCTAGGTCTTCGGGGACGTGAAGCCCAGGCTCCCGGCCGGGCCTAAGCCGGCTGTGACGCACACAGTGCTGACCCCCGACGACACTGTTGGAGGCTCCCAGGGTCCGGGAAAGCCGGGGTTGAGAATAACGGGTCATAGGGACTCGTGGTTACACCGGCCTCCGCCACCAGGAGCTGCTCTCAGACACACACAGCCTTGTACTACTTCTCCCAGAAGGCACTGCGGCATCGGTGTCCACCTTGACAGTGGGCCGGAGGGGGCGGCTCCGGCAAATGAACCTCATGTAGGCGCAAAGCCTCTCGGGAGTTGTAGTCCTCATCCCGATAGAGCTGCGGACCACATCTCCCAGGAGGCTGTGCGACAAACCCATGGGCTTCCCCGCGTCTTGGGTCTGCAGCAGGGATTTCAAATACACATTCAAAGGGATTTCAAAGACACATTCCTGGGACGAAATGAAAATAAATGTCACAATGTACTTTCTATATGTGACAAAGACGACACTTAAATGTTATGTCACTGTCCCAGACCCGTCCTTTTTCTTTCTAGGATGAAACCCAAGAAACGATTCTTCTGTATCTTTTTTTTGCCTTACTCCTTTTTTATGTCTCTGTGCACCATCCAAGCTGAGGGCCTGTCCGCAAAGACCGTGATATGACGGGCAGGGCAGTGAATATGTATAAAAGGAAAATAAGGACCGCCACCGGGAATCGAACTAGGGTCCCGAACACTCCGCCAGGAGGGGGAGCTGCGCACGCAACCCGCGGGTGGCCCTCTGGGAGTTGTAGTTCGAAGCGCGCCCGCGCAGGCGCACTACAGGTGAACGCCGAACGTGGCCTTCGACAGCCCTTCCACGAAACAGTGTGGAGTGGGAGGTTTGGGCAGGACCGGCTGGTTCCGCGAACCGAGCTCGGATCCAGCCTAACGCCTTAGGACGCTGCCCTGGTGCTTAGCGAACACGGACATGACCGGAAGCGCGCGCGGGTCCCTCTGGGGGATGTAGTTCACCGCCAACGACGTGGCCTGCGGCCTTGGTCCACGGACCGCGCCCGGATTCCGATCCTCGCGTAAGCAATTTTGGAGCCGCGGGCGGGGACGGGTGAAGCGGGGA